CTCCCTAAGCCAGAAATAATCCTGGTAAAGAGGAAAGGTTGGGCATGAGGCTAGCAACCTCATCCTGTAAAATAAACACTGCTACAGAAACTTCAAGCCACTAGCTTGAAGCCCTATGTTCCACAGGGGAACGTGAAGGAAAAATTATTATTATTATACATCATTTGGAGGCTCGCCGTAACATCTGAGTGGTTCTCAGTCAGTTTTGCCTCATTTAGAGTTAATTTCCGAGCATTGGAGGTCAAAGCTCGTTCCATGGTTGATATTTGATGCAATTTATTACCAAACACTTCATAAGTATTATCAAAAGTACCCTACATTCGCACTGACTTCAATGAAACTCCCTTTAAAGGTTTATTCTGATGATAGTGTTTCCTGATAGTGTTTCCTTAGTTGCAGGAGATTTGATTGTTATTGTATTGAGCGTGTTTACGCATAAGTCAAAATTATTCTAGAACCATATAGGTTTCCTGCATTCGTTGCGAAAGTTAGGATTATCATTTTAATGAAAGTTGAATTCTCACCTTGTTTTTGTAGAAGAAAAGACTGTTCGTGAATTGAACTACTGAGATTTCTTTCAATTTTGTGACTCTCATGTTCGCCAAACTACCAGGCCAAGTAGAGGGGACTCCATGGTAGACATTATGGAACTGAACCATTAGTTATTGATGAGCCAAAATAGGAGTGTATCATCTTTTTTCGTAGGAGAGATAGTGGAAACAGAGGCTTCAGCAACAGACATAGTTATTAGGGAGCAAACAAATTAGATTAGTCATACAGCGAAAATATTGAGGAAAAGCCTCAGGGTTTATGATTTGTTCACTGGTCTCAAAAAGCTTGAAATGAATTAAAAGCTAATCTTATTTCTGCAATTTTTCTCTAAAAACTACAGAACGTCGAAGATAATGAACGACGTTGATCAAATCTCTGGACTAATGTTATGAGATGGTGAATATGTGAATATGTTATGAAACTTCAACAAATTTGTTCTCAGCTCGCTGCGTGTTCATCGTCCTTCAACGGCTGAATAATATCTATGAATCTTCTGTAATGCGGAATAAATTCATCTATGGATATTCTCCAAAACTATTATCATTGAATTACTCATTTAGGGAAATGTCCCTGCCAATAAAATATGCACTTCTCTTAAAACAGGTTATGTACACTAAATCGATGAATAGTAAGCATGTTAGTATAGAACCAGACCAACACCAACTTAGTTTACTCCTGTAATGCATTGTGCAATAACCTCTGATTCATCCTCTAGGTACATTCATTTCATGTTTTTCTTTGAACTAGCTCACTACTTTTCATGGATTTATGAGTTTTTCGGACAGCATCGAATTCGTAATATCTTTGTTAACTAAATAGTGAAATATGCTCAGCTACCTTAGGTATATCGGTTTTTAACGTCTATTAAAAACCTCACATCACCCCCAGTCAAGGTGGCTTGCAGAAGAATTAAAAGGCAAACTAACGTGTTATCGAATCAGTGTATGAATTTTGTCTAACAAATCCTTAGAGATGTTGGAACTGAATAATCAGAACAAAGTTATAAGTTACCTGTTAAATCCAAAACAGGATTTGTTTATAATATGATACTATTTCGCACATAAAAGTGGTCAGTTGAATTACCAAACGTCGAAGTGTGCATAGAGTGTCAGAAACACTGTCTCAAGGCGTAGGTAAGAAGAACTGCAGAGATATGTCCAAATCAACCCAGGGTCTATAGTAAATAGCTCGCTAATATACAGCTAAAGAATGATATGATTCAAACCAGTCATGTTTAATGGTGAGTGAAACAGAAGGTGCCGCTTAACAATAGGAAGATACCTACGAGAGACTGCAAAGTGTGTCAGTGTATTCAATGAGATAAATTACCATGAAAATCAATAATATTGGTTACAGGGTAGCGAAATGGAAGCATAATAAAACCATATATATAAAACTTTGTTATGGTTATTTCGATTAATTTCCCTGAAGAAGTTCGGACCAGATTGCCGAACGAAACGTTGGAATTATTCATTTCAATTTCGCTGAGATTTTACAAATATAACTTTATAAATGTCTACTTCTCACTCAGCGCCCAATTATTTTGCAACTATCCGATCAAATCTTGATCACAGTTCGTATGAAAACCATATTACTTTCTAGCAAACAGTAGTATAAGACTGCAAACAAATGAAACAGTAGTGAAGAACAAATTAGAAAAGAAATAACAGTGAATTTTAAGGAGATATTAATAGAAATTGGCCACCGACACATCACTCTAGGAAACCACAACTCCAGTACACACTAGAATTTTTAATCTTGATAAGGCAAACGCATAAGTTCCAACCGTTGTTTACAAAAATCCCATTATCGTCAGGGAAAAAGTTTGAGGATATAATTTATTAAATTCCATTATCCCTTAACAATTTGATGTCACAGGTAGGTTCTATGTTGGTTCGTTCCCTGAATTGATCGGGGCTTACCCTACATGGACACCTAATCTGCAATCGGAAGGGAGCTTAGCTGTCGACTTATGTCTGAAGTTTGTTGCAGAGCCACACAACTCCATCCCCCATGTCTTCGCAATGATCACTTGAAATTCTATCATTCCTTCCTGCTTTGCGTTTGTGTGATATTAGACATTTGAAAACGTAGAAGTTTAGATTTCATTTCAATTAGTCTCAAGCTGCATCTTGCTATATAATTGACATTGCCTAAATTCGCGTTGATGAATGATCACATGAGAAGCAGAGTGCGAAAAGCGGAGCGGAAGTTTGTATACTAGTCAGTGTGTCAGTGAATTTATTAGTTGAAATAAGACAACAGGGGGTTGTGTATAAAAGCTCAGTAATAAGTGGTGAGGGAAACTGTTGCATACAGGTCTGAAGATCATGCCTGTGAAGTGCAAATTAGAACAGTATTTATTAATTTATACATTTCACTACAGGTCAGGAAAGAAAAACTGACTGGAATTGCCTGTTTTTCACACAGGAAACCATTTTTATGGGCGAACTCTAGTGGCCTCTGCTTTTTGGATTATTCCGTATCCAGAGTCTTTCGTCAAAGCCATTCATTCATTCTAGACCTGTTTGCACAAGGTGGTTTATTAACGAACTTTTAACTGCTTTTCACTTCGCGTTAATTCAGCCATACACCTAGGTGGTCGCGAAAACAAATGTTAGGTTCCTACAGCAACAACCACTGCAACAGGCTCAACAGGAGCGGTAAAACTGGCATAAAGAAAATTGGATGGCTTGTCTATGTACTTCACCTTCTATTTGAGGAATCACAACCAGTCAAGTGCAAAATATCAGCTACAGCTCATCAAGATTAAATGTTTTTATGGTAACTTCCTTAACTTGCTGGTTATTATATTACTTGGTATGTCACTTATGCATTGAAATCGTGAATTGAGAGGCCTCTTTTTCACGAGAAGAGAGAACGGTTAATTTGCACCTTATTGTGAATGTGTTTCATCATGGGCCTTTCTGGATATCTATTGTCAATCAGAGTATTGATTATAATCTTAACTTCATATGAATGAATGCTTCTGGAGGTGAAACTCCTCTTCTCAGGTTGAGGGTGATTTTCAAATTTCTTCTATACTGAATAGGAACAAGGCTATGAAAATATCTTTATTGTTGTATTAGAAAAGCACAGAGAGAAGGCTCTTGGAATTTCTACATCAGTGATAAGATATTACTTGGAAAAAGAACCGAAAAACTACCAATAACAATAGTGCAGTAATTGGATCATATCATATAGTTGTAGGCAATCTGCAGAAAGCTCTGGACCTAGCTCTCGTGCTGGCTGACACTCCAGCTACTTAGAATGGTGGCCACATTGCAAAGCTGACTGATAGAATTCAGTCTGCACCGGAGAAAGTACTAGATAATAGTTACTAGTGTCCAATCAAAGTATGTTACTTATTGTGAATTTATAACGGTTATTGGTTAAGATATCACTATTTTAAAACAATCTCTCTTCTTAATTCATATTTTGTTTGTTTCAATTTTCATTGTCCATCAAGGTATTCTCTAAGCTGTTTATTTGCTCTCCAGATAGTTAACGGATTTAAATGTTTATATTATACATATTCACTCGAACAAAGTACACTCTAGAAAATAAGTTTTTCTGCATCTCTATAAAATGGTAATTTGAACGAATGAATTCATTTCGAGTACAAATTCGGAGTTATGTAGGTGCATCATTGATTTATCAATAAATATTTTTTTATTTCTTGATGAAACCGGCGGGTATGAATTGGAGATACATTAGGAGATAAAAGACGCCATTTGCTTGTCAGTGATCTATTCTTAGTATATTCAATTTGGTGGGATCAATCTGCATTATTTTGAAATAGACTATGTCAATTAGTGGACGTGTTTATGTTAGTGCGAAATGATAGGATAAGTAGTCTAATGTACTTGCATATACACCAAACTATCTCCCTAGATAATATTATTGGTATGTGAAGTAGTTCTGCGGTGAGTAGAATGTAGGCATGTGTGTGGTAGTTCGTAGTTGCCGTAGAGTTGTTATTTATGAATTTGGTCGTAACTGATGTTTTCTGATAACCAAAGTTTCCAGATAAATATGGATTATTTAACGCAGAAATGCGTATAAATGCCATAATAGAGACTTAATCGGTAATTGTATGGGAAGTGAAACATATTCGTGTTCACTTTACATGTTAGCAATGAGAAATCTTCATGTCGATACTTCTACTGTTTACATCAATGTATGATCCTGAGTCATTTCAGATGTTTCAGATTACCGTATGATTGTACATTTCAGCTTTTGTTAACTTATACCACTGACAGCAGGTGAATTGTTTGCTTGGATAATTTTCGCCCGTCTTTTACGACAAATTTCATTATAGTGCTACCTACCTTAAACGCTTTTGTTAAGTTGCTGACACAATTTGAGCAGCATCACCTACACGAGTTCAATGGCTGACATAATCTCCAAATGTTTCAATTTCAATGCAGCTGCAGTTACTTTTAAAGACTACATAACCTGGGTAAGAAAATCGGTATTTCTTCTGTAGAGATATACACTTACACCTCAATCGATATCTCGATTATGCTATTCATCTTGATCTCAGTGATGGTCGTAATCGGCAGCCTGTATGATTGAAATTCTTGTTCTTATTGAGTAAACTTGTAGACAGTTTCTGCAGAAACTTCTGCTCGGGAAAGCGTACTTATCAATGATACTCGCGTAAGTCACGTGTTGAATATTTATTATTTACTGCTAGTTGATGGGAATACATTCTGTTGATTTCAATTTCCAGACTGGTCTTTTTTCGAGCACCATTATTTTCTTAATCTGAAATTGTATGAATTTTGTTCACATTTTATTTCAGCCTACTTGCCGTTGATTTGTATTGTACTGTATTGTTCTTCGAGAAAATTCGTCAAAGCATTTTGGCTGTTCACATACTTATTGGAATAGTCGTAAGTTTGAATTAGTAATTTATATTATTGTTATAAATTGCTGTCAAAATGATTAAGAACATAATGTGATCAAGATTTCTGTTAATAATTATGTGTTCACAATCTCTGCTACACAGCTTTTGTGAGTATATGACACATGTCCAAAATCATGTCTCTGTAATTCAGCTGACTGCTCCGATCTGCTTGTAATTGTTTCATTGTTATAGTTTATGAGAGTTACTACTAAGTGCTCCCATATTTCTGATAACGTTTACTTGTGAGGAGAACAAAAAGAAAGAGGCATATAGATAAATGGGACGATCATGCCCAGTAGATAACACCATTTACTGAAAACACACACATATTTAACATAATAACCAAGGGTATTATGCATCATGAAGTCTATCGAACATCCACAAACTTGAGACGTGTATTTGAAACACATGACTTTCCTGATATCCTATCAGGGATAAATTGACTTCACATGAAGATCTATATAGTCTACACTGAAAGGAGATTGACCATAAAGGAGATATATCATTGGTAATATATTGTTGTAGGCAATGCATGAATTGAGATAATATGAGATTTATTAGTGAATGTGACATAATATTTTAGAATTACAGCGAGCAAGGACACCAGATTAGAACTCGAGCTACTTAACAGTTCAGTTAATACATTGCATGTGATATTTTTGCTCACCTGATTTTCATCCATTAAAATGTGACCTCCAGTGTTGTTACTCAATATAATAAGAAAAATAACCAATTGTAATTAAAATCAAAGTGTCTACAGCCTTCCGATTCTCCAGTTTGAAGAAACAGTTTAAAGTGAGCATACTTGTGAATAGTAAAGTACCCCAATATACGAGACAAATTCTCCTTGTACTGCTGTACATTTCATGATTGACATTCAACCAAATGACATGTATTTCTCTAAGGAGACAAAGAATAAATGTCCCAATTTATTGGTGTGGGCTTCAGGTCAGATAGCACAATATCACACGACATACTGTCAATCAATCATTCATTTGAAGATCCTGGATAAATGGAAAAATCACACAACAAACTCCACTAAAATTCTGTACATTTTTCAACGCTCTACAAATGAGACTTATTATTGATGTAATTGTTGACTAGGACAACTACTCAAAATCACATTTCGTTGATCAGAAAATTCAGCATGCAACATATCGCAATCCTATGTGACTTAGACTTGAATTTTGAGTCATCTGTTTCCAAGTAATTTGCTGTCGGAGTGAAATGCTTGAGTGCAAATGAATATTTTTGCTATGCGATTAACCCACGATATGCACAGGTGGATGCTTACTCACTCTCCACATATAATGGAATGTTGTTTGATAACTTTTTCTGAGTTTAATGGACTACTATACTATAAGGAGCTCACTCGTTAATAAGACCGGGAAGCATCACTAAGCATTGTACGTGTGAGAAAATCTAATTCTTGATGAATTGAAGTCTTCTGTTGGTGAAGCGATTTGTAAGTGAAATCACCAGAATCCAAGAAGACAGTAAACTGAATTAATTTCTCTAAATGACATTCCTTCGAGGTCTGTTGAAAGAGTAGTGACCATCCGCTTTCAAAAATACACTCCCGTTGCCTACCTAAGTCTGAACTTTGGATTTCAATTTTGCATGGTGAGACGCTTGGTTAATCACCACATATATGGAATCTGTCAGCAAATACAGATAACTTGGGAAATATCTGTGTAGCTGGAACCAGTCACGTTCAGGCCAACCCAGTTACCAGAATTTATCACCACAAGTGAAACCTCTTCATCCAGTAGTCGGTCACAGATGCTTGGTGATGATTTACCAGAAATAGATTTATTGACGAAATAAATAACGTTGCCTCAATAAAATCTGCTAATCATATCAGTCAGCGACAAAGTATCCGTGAAAGAATGAATAATGGCACTGTGATATCCAAATAGCATAACAAAAACATTTGATATAAAATTATTACGTTTCCTTTTATGTTTATCAATGTTTTGATAGTGTCTATTTTCCTACACTTCATTCTACAGGTTCTACTGCTCTCCGTAACCCAATGTTGTATTTACAAGCAGCTGAATCACCTAATAATTTTCATAACTTTCAATGCAACGTTGGCATTATCTGTCTGCATCATATTTGTAGCGGTCATTCTCAAAGGATTGAATGGCAAAGGGTTGTTGGTGTTCACTCTGCTGATAGTTTTCATTGGGTTCATAGGAATTCTTTCCTTTTTGTTAAACCGTTTGGCTTATCCATACAATGTGAGTTCATGTATTTGTATTCCAGAGTATTGAAACAGTGTCCGGTGATTAGGAAATGAAGTAAAGCGTTTCATTTTCAACTATGGTGACGCGCATGTCTTGTTCTAATTCTCCATGCAAAAAATGATACACCTCATTATTCTGTCAAACATAATGATTTCGTATTCAATATGTGCCTATGACCACACAAACAGTGATAATTTCACGAAGCTTTACCAAAGTTTTAGTTAGCACCGATTAGCATATTTCTAGCTTGAATGTTTCTTGTATAAAATTTGGACATGACTTAGGACTGTTTTAAGCATATCCGTCTGGTTGTTTCTCATCGTAATGTGGCGTCTTAATCACAGTAACACACTGTGAGCACTTAGAATCAAAGTTGACAAAAACATGCATATCGTAAATTTATTCCAGAGAAATGTGACTCAAAATATGCAGCTCAATCAGAGTAACTCTTCGCTGAATATCGCCTACTTTACATGGCCTAATTATGAGTTCTAGGCTACTTAGATGTAGGTAATGTCAACAGTGTTTTTCCAGCGTCTGTTTTCTCTAAAGTTTGAATTGAGAGAATACTGTTTTTTCATCTTCTAACTTCCTTCAGGAAATCTTCAGCATCATTTGCCTTGGCGCCTGTGCAGTGTTAGTAAGTTGTCTGTTATATTCAACTTACATTTGCGTTATTGTATAATATTGCCCCTTTCATCAAAAAGATATGGAGCGTGTCATACGTAGAATATGAAAGAGAAACAGAGAGGGTGTATGATTTTCCCCAGATATTCAGTGCCTGAATGCGTCATCTCGACCGTTGAATTAAGATCTGACAGCGGAGCAAGTGGCCTCCTAGACGTGATTGAGCTCACTCTGCTGTGAAAACACACTGAAACCCTTCATTTGGCGAGAATGTACCATCCTCACCATCCTCATCCATTATTGATGAAAAGATAAGCACACATGTGAATAGGAGAAATGAGTGTTAGTTTGCATGAAAAAGGCAAAGAATACTGAGACACAGTTGTTATTAAATGTGGGTTTGTGTGGACTTTATTCGCCACTGGTTTGGTCACCAGACGACATTAGTTAGAGAACTGTTGGGAAACCAGGAAGTAATGGAAAGTTGTTTCATTCACACGGCCGACAATATCATCGTGATTTGAACCCAGGACCTCCAGTGGCAAGGTGAGTACCTAGTACTGAGACTCAACCCAATGGCTGGAGGCCACTTAATGCTGAAAAGCGTCAAACCAGGGTTTCACAAAGGTTCAGTATTTCTTCCTTTTCCAGTGGTACTCTGACTAATGTCAGCTCACGATTTAGCCTGTAACAGATCTCCTTTTGTATATTGAAGGCGGTCGTTGTTATAAGATCTGGGCTACCGTTGTCTTGGCCAGAGGAATATACACATTTATTTGGAGTTTCTATAATGTAATACGTCACATATACGCAAATATATTTCATATGAATTGCAAATATTTCTCCCTTTGTGTACAATAAATTCTACTAACACAAATGAGATGAATCATATTTTTGTCTAAACATATTATGTTGGTGTTTCAACACCTGAAGATGCACAATTCCTGGGAGGATCTTTGATGAAATTTGTAGCAGTAACGAGATTTTTGTTTCATAACACTCACAGGCACACCATCTTGCCAAATAACAGGTTCATTCGAAAATCGTATTCTTATAACTACAGGGTTTGTTCATAATGGACATAATGTTCATAATGGCAAATGGACTGCGACGGTGCTTGACATTTATTGATTTGCCAGTCTGTTCTGCAGTCAACCAAGCATTTTTCCTGTGGATTTTTATCACACTTACATTCTCAGCAATTTATTCACTACCGCTTAAATTAGTTATACTTCTGAACATCAGAATACAAGTTAAATTGTTACATAACCTATTGTTAAATAGCTCTGAAATATACAACTGATCTTCTTATATCCATGGATTCTCTGTTATACGCGTATATGAGTTTTTACAGTCATTCATGTGTTGAAGTGTTTAAACTGAGATAATTGTGACCATTAACTGATATCTTGGGCTGGCGTCCCGTTGGTTTTGTGCCAGAAAGCTTTTGGGAATTTAATCGGAGCAGAAACAGTCCCCAACATAGTGAAACCTGCCTGCAGTTCATTCACCGTCTGATGATGAAGACTTGCTTTTTGCAGCACAGACGTGTAACCACAAACAACTCACAATAACCTTTGACGGTGGGCCTCATAAATTAAACTTCACGTCTTAGGCATAGTATCCGGAACCCAAAGAGACCACAGCTCGGCATCACAGCTTCTTTTTATTTCACTGGGAATAAGAGAGGCGCGTTAATCAATAAACTGGCCACTAAAATATATGTACAAACTGAAAGATCAAGGAGAAGTATCATATAGAAAAAACAGATTTAAACATGTTGTGCATAACACTACGTTGTTAAAATTCTATTGCGAAAATACTGTTGTCTCAACGGGAATGAAATCAAAGAAATCACGAATACTTCTGGAAACTAATCAGAGAGAGATATATGCTTGACTGTTGAAAAGGTTTATCAGAATCACAATTACTAATGGATGATGGGTTGAAGTCGACAACATAAGGGAACTGTTGGCATGCTGAAATTCACATCAAGAATATGACTGCACTCAGATTGATATCATGGTGTGCATTTGAGTACAGAATATGGATTCGGATCTTTCGAAATCGTTTCTCGGAAAAACGGCTGGACTTGTAGAGAAAATGTAAGAGGTTCATAGTAAATTCTACACAATCCTGTATTTGTAATATGCTACCGGACTGTTCTGGCGCACAACTACGTCCACAGGCCATCCCACGTCCTAAAGAATGATGAAAAATCTATTTAAATCACTCAAAACCTAAAGGCGACCTCAAGGAACCCGAATGTGTGGGAAAACATGAAAAAGTTACTATCATACGGAAATCCAGAAGCCTTGGTGATCTCCAAATTATAGAAATCTGTTAGTAGTTTAATATTCCATGATAACAAAAGTGCAAAATATGCAGTCTTTTCAGGAAATTTTAGTGAAGAAGGCACAGGTATGCGATCATCATTTACCGGAAGACGAAGAAATTGATTAATGAAGATAAGTGTGCGGTAAAAACAACGAAAATGCCGCTACTCCTCAACGTATTTAGTTTGTCTGGTCCGGATTTTCGAAATATTATGATAGAAGATGAACACATTTTTAGGACTTTAGAAACTTATTATGTCTACTTTCAAATGCGAATTTCAGATAACAGTATCATCTTGTTTATTTGTTATGGAGCATGTTGATTGTTTAACAGGTTTTATTTAGACCAGTTCTGTAAGCCTGTCAGAGTGTTTTCCTTTCTCACTGTATATTTCATCGCTATTCACGCTTTAGTCCGTTCTTCAGCATTTTTGCCATGTAATCAACGAAAATCCACTGCTCATTTACCTGTAATAGTACAAAGTACGCAGTTAGTGGTCAATAAAATATCTTCGTAACAGTATTGAGATAACTAGAAAACATGTTCTAGCTCGGTTGAAAAACAAAATACGAAGTGACATTAAGAGTTCTATTATGAATATGATTAGCAGTGATGTATAGCGGTGGGTTGTCCTTACATTTCATCCATTTTACTTGAAAAGTCGTAGTATTCACAGTGTCTATGGCCTTTTAAAGTAGTAATTTGTTGCATTTGAGAAACTATGCACTGTGACGATGATTTCGAATGTAAGTGTCAGTTTGAAGGGATTGATTAGTTTTAAGTTTGATCACAGATCAGTATCAGTTAGAGAACCACTGGAAATCATGCAGCACTGAAGGGTTGTTCACATTTAGTTCAGAACTATTCACCAGGACACACTAGTCGGCCTACTAGGATTTGAAAGCAACGACTTCACTTTAGAAGGCGGGCTCGTCTACGTTCAGTCGTTTGAAACAATGTTATAGCTTTGAATTCAAATATCTCAAATTCAAGGGCCTTGTATTACTTCCCAGTGGCTGCACGGTGTTGTTACTGATGCATTAGGTGAGCAGTGGATTTTTGAACGTATTCCGCTTTGCATTACAAGGAAGCTCATATTAATTATTGCGAAAGTTATTAATTGAGAATTCTTTCATAGAACTTATATTTTGTTACCATTACACTAACAAAATCACCATTTTTTGCAGTAAAATTTAAGACATTCTCATCATCTGCAACTTAATAATGATCTAGCAAATAATAGTCGGAATGACTGAACAATATAAGCATTTCATATCGTGATCACAAAGAAACTTAGTAAAGTCATCAAATAGGTGAATGGCAGCTGTGCGCTAGGCAGATATTTGTGTGAATGAGTTGTCCACTTCATGAGAATCTAATGCAGAGAAACTATTCCTATTAGTTATTAAGTAATAATCTAATATTCCTTTGACGATTCTAATTTAGGCTGGATTTCCTCGTTGAAGTACTAGTCAACAAGGCCACGTCATCTATTGCAGATAATTGAGGTTGTCATACCAGATCTGGAAGATGTATTATCAGATTAAACTACCTCTTGCTCCTCTGAAGCAAGAAACGTTATCCATTATTGTGTAAATTTAATATTTTGTGCCACATAACAATAACTAACAAAGATAAACGAAGATTCTAATAAAAGACATTATCAGTTCAATATTGTTTCAGTAATACCATAAATGAAATGATGAATGTATCATGTAAACCTCTTAGACACATGTGCTTTCTTTGGTCAACAAAAGCCATCATTATTAGCTGGAAAGGTATGAAATTTGTACAAAACAGAGATTTCCGACCATAACTCCTACTCTTTCATGCCACTCAATATGTGTTAGGTCCTAGATACTGTAATACGTTACGTATTCTGTTTGTGAATTTTATCCTAAATACATGCATACCGTATAGACCATTTATTTTGTCATTGTAATTTCGCTGACTTCTTAGTCTTGGAAGAAAAAGAATTCCTGTCTTTGAATATTTGGTTAGTCCACTTTAGGTGGCAAAGGCAATAATTTGTGCAGAATAATGCTCCCCAGTAGTTTACTTTCTCTGCTACTTATAATCTTCTTGAAGATTAGCACATTGGTGTACAGAGATATTTTAACATGCTTGGAAAAGAATCATGATTCAGGTAGCACGGAACTCCGAAATTAGTAGACAGTGTTGAGAAAACACACACAGAACGTTTACACAGAAGACCCATGTCCACATACAAAGACGAAATTCGCGTGATAAAGACCAGAAGTTGACAAGGTGATGAACAAAAGTGAGATTGATAAATTTTTGTTACGTTCAAGTTGGCTATACGCATCTGATAAGAAACTTATTAAAAAAAGAAGCCAACCTGTTGACAACAATCGATGTTTGGCGCTTTATTCAAATACTTTAATACATCTTTGTCTATACAAACCTACATTCACCTGAATATGGAAAAGCGCAGAGAAAATGTTCCTCTCAGTGAATTTTGAAACTCAGTGACTGAAATTCATAGTAAGCTTCAGTCGGTAGAATGTATTCACTATCGCCAATAATTGTTGTCTTCAATTTATGGCGGTGAGTTCGATCAATCTATGCATATCATATAGATTGAACCATGATCTAACGACCATTAAACCATATACATGAATAAGATTTTATCAGCGTTATTAATTCGATGTTATATAATAACAATAACAATGATGTTCAAAACAATATTTATTTGCTGACTAAAGTTCACAACTTTGAAACTCGAAACGTTTTTGGAGCAATGAACGATTTCTTTGTTCACTATTTCCAGCTTGATACAAAATAAACTGAACAGGTTAAGAAAAGTAATTTGGCATAATTTGTTCAAAGTCAAAGCTCATAAAATGTTTTTATTCTAAACCGTCCTAATTACAAATACTGTGATTTGCAAAGCTGTGGTCAAAAAACGATACTCCCGTTATTATTAATAGTTTGTAATTTCAATTTCCTTAACTTTTGATGCTTATCAAATCGCACAAGAAATTAGGTTGTATGCTCATGATGTATTTTATATTTCTGAATGATTGGAAAGATGAGGGATAACTTCTTAGAAATTCATATTCGCACACCCAGAATTCTGCGTTGGTGATGATTGTGAGGGAAAACGTATTTAAGCGATCAAGTGTGTTGCTTCCGACATCAGTATGCTATTAGGCTGGATAAGCTGAAACTGGTAAAAGATGATGGTCATTCGGAATAGAGGTCTTGCCTATTAGCAGAATAATTAATTATCTACCGAACGGAGCGAACCTTTGTTGGAATTTAAGATTTAATTTTCTTCCTGGTGAAATTACGCATGAAAAGTGAATAAAGTGTCATTGGCTCCACTTGCCGTCAAGAGCGGTTGATTGGAAGAGATATGTTTTCAACTAGATTAACATATACATTTCTGATGTTGGCTGCATTTGCATTATTTGAGAAGCCTCTTCTTTAATGGATTTGACTCTTCAATTCCTATTCAAATTGGATGGTGTCAACGTAAGCCTGACGTTGTTAAAAAGCAAGCTTTCTACTCTTTCCGTTTGTCCAGTGTCTATTTATTTTCGCAAATCCGTATAATTATTATGAGTGATAAATACTTTTCAACACTAAGTATATCCTTTAATTAAAACGGAGGGATAGTTGCAAATTGAATTAAATAATTCCATTGACCAGTTGCACAAGAGATGGCTCTCATTGTCTAAGTGGACGACTGAATAACACTACGGTTTTTTTACTATGGCCACTGAGTTCGTGCCTTGATGGGAATAACTTCACTAATTGCGGAGTGCAGAAACACTTTGCTGGCGAGTCCTAAATAGGGGAAACGCACATTCTGGATTCCACTGCTGGTCAGCATCCGCCAATTAACTACTGAATATATCATTCATCTGGTTTTATGCAAATGATAATATTTGTATGTGAAAACTTCTGTTGGTAACTTCGCTTGTTTTTTCTCTGAAGAGATAATCAGTAAGGACTACCCTTAGTTAACCTGTGTTTAGCTGACACTAAAACTCATATTCACATCTAAGTGATTCATCACATGTCAGATGGCTATTTCCACAAATTAACATTGGCTTCTGCAATCAGAATCGAATGGCCTTTATACGTGAAATAATTCCTTACACCCTTTCTGCTCCTTATCTCATGTATCATATAGGAACCAATTTTCATAATCATAACTGCAGAATTCCCTGAATTTGAGTCGGTGGAATCTATTTAAACACATCCCGATTAGTAAATTGATTCAAGGTTTGTCTATTACATGTTTCTCAATATTAAAGTTTATTCTGAATTCTCACAATGGACGCGAACTGATGCCTTCATTCATAATTGCTATTATGTGTGATTATTACTTAAATTTGTAAAACTTTTTCAATGCTCGTCATGGTTACCAGTCAAAAAACAGCTTAGATAAACATCAGTCGTTCATTAAGTTTCAACCCAATTACTCCCTATTTGACTGGGGTATTCTGCTGAATCGTTTGAACCAAACTCATCTGCAGCGACCTCTCAGTATCTCGTTGACACCGATTATAAATTCTCCTTGTATGTTAGATTATTTTTCTGCTGCTAGTGTACTGAAGATATGACCAACGCATCTTTTCTTCGTCATAAACCTACCGTTACTCACCTGTCGAGGTGCAGTGTAAATCGCCTCAAATATTGGTAATCTTTCTCTTCAAGTTAATTGCTTATACGGTCTTTGAGAATCTAGGTGATGGGAGCTGAAATGTATGAAAAGTTCAATCGTGTCAATATATTTGTGAAATTGACCATCTAAGAAGTATTATAAAATGCTGGCAAACTGAATGTTATCACTTCAATAAGTTCAGAACGTGACATGTCACGGATATGCTCCTGTTCAACTCTACCACACGAGAACTGATTGCATAAATATGATTAAGTTTGTGGCACTTTAAGGCTTTGGAATCAGGACAAATACGGTTACGCCTAAGCGCGTTGACTCAGAACTTGACTTCCTAAAAGCCACACTCACAGAAAACTGTTACTCTAACCGATTTATTGACAGCAACATGAAAAATAAGCAGTCTAAACTGGTCACCGACTCAGTTCCTAAGTAAACCTTATTCATAAACATGGAATACAAAGGTGATCAAGCATCAGATATGCTCAAAAATCGTCTCTCTAAATCAGTCAGTGAAAATTACACATGACGTTCATGAGCCGCAAATTGTTCTGTACCTATGTAAAAGATAAGCTCCCCCGTCTGACCGCCTCAATGTGCATCTACCAGTTCACCTGCTCTTGTGAAGCAAGGTACATTGGCTGTAGTCAGAAAACGCTCTCCACAGGAGTACAAGAGCATACTCCAATTCGGTTTTACAAGGGAGAAAGGAAGTGTGTGTGAAGCTCTATTCTGGAACACCTGATCGACTTCTGTCACTCGGTCAACCCTGACCAGGATTTCAAGATCATATATTGAGTTCATGCTAACTTCCCGCGTTTTCTTCGTACAGACTTCGAAAAACAGCTTAGGTCTTGGGAATTCATGACTTTAAGCCAGACCTTTGTGTACAAAAAAGTATGTAGAAGCCCTACTGCTGCCTTGGCCGTAGAGGGATAGACAACTATTTATTTTGTTAATTTAGTTATTCAATGTACTTTTCCCTTATCACTTCGATTATTTTTATTATTATTTTCATTATTATTATTATTACTATTCTCACTCTGAATCTTTTCCACTTGACTCACTTGACATTTTAAACCCAAAATCATTAATCTGTATACTTTTAATTTTTCAATATTGAATTCTCTCGTATTAAATTTCACACCATGCTATGTAACATTTTATATTCGTCTACTAATCTTATAATTATGTATACCTTTGCAAAATCTATACACCTCATGTATTATTCTATATATGGAATTAAGTATTTTGTCACATGATATTAAACTATGGTTATAATCGCAAATATTTCAATTGCATTTCATACTATTATTGTCATTTCATGTATTCACACTTTTGACCTAATTCACTCACCTGATATAATTTCATTATACAACTATATATTCACTATTGTACAGCTTGAGAATAAATCCGTTAAAAAGAGTCTCTTCGCTGATTGTTGTGTTCTTAATGACACAATGGGAATTATTAAATCATCCATAAGCATTCCTTTGTAGTTTTTAACGATTTCGTGAACTTCATGACTTCTGTCACCGTAGGTGCGACTAATGGTTTCCTAACTTGTTATCAAATAACCTTATTTCCATTCATTTCGCTGCACTAAATTGATTCCTACTTGTTATCTGACAATCTTCCACAATTAGTTTTTTAATCTCTTCACGTTCCTATTGGAACATTGGACTTCAAGCTAGAGGCTTGAAGTTCCTGTAGCACCGGTGTTTATTTTTACGGGATAGGGTTGCTAGCCTCGTGCCCAACCTTCCCTCTTTACCAGTCGAATTGTTGGCTTGGCGAGGTAGGGGAGTGCGTTGGTTGGGGATCGAAACCCGAACCACCTGCGTGGTCGGTAAGCCTTCTAACGTTGTGTCACAGACGCACCAGTAGTTTACACAACATTATCGTTGATCCTACCTAACCATAATTACTGTTGTTATTTTCACCTTTGAACTCATGTCTAGCCTTTGTCATTCGTTGGTTTATTTTCTGTAGTATTCATATTGTCTCATAGTCACTTTCAAAACCTGTAATTCTTTTGACCACATATATGTACCTTTGAATAAATTCTTTTCATTTTTTATGTTTTCATTGACCAAACATATCGAAAAATAATTGACTCTTACTCCATCCCGTCTTATATTTGTTCCACAATACATTTCTGAGTACATTTCTAATTTCACTTCACTGGCTATTGTTTGCCTAAATGCCTACAGAAAAGTCAGCATTAGCTGAATATTGCAGTAGTGATGAGTCCAATTCATCCGGGTGAAGTGTAACCTCCCTTTCATACTAGTCATCGATTTGTCGAATACTTCATGGCATACGACAATCGTTCAGATGAAGTTTAAACTCATAAATTGTAAATCTGACTTTGATTGATCTGTCTGTATTAAGGTGTTAAATGATGCAAAATGAATACAGGCCGTCCGATAAAGAAAATAAATCATGTTTCTACTCTGCTGCAATTCTGATATCATCGAATATTTGATGTGCTAGTGCATCCTTTGATTTCAAAAGGAAATGCTCTAAATAGACGGATGAAATCACACACTTAAGAAGATTAGAAACAATCCAGTAAACCCCCATCTAGAATGGAGATTATCTAAAATCCAAATAAAAGAAATGTGGATAAATGGCGAACCTCTACCCTCAAGTTTTGTTTCTGTATGTAAATTACCGTGTTGTCATATTTTATCGACAAAGATTCTTCAGTAGTAGGTGAGTTTAAATATTAAAAGATTTTGAATTTTAACCGTATTCTCCTTTGAATTCCAGAATAAGTCTTGAGAAATTCTAGTTAAATGGATGATCTAATAACCACATATATTCTAAACGTGTTATAAATTGATGAAACATATTCCGGATATTCTGACCACAAAAGTACTTACCACAAATTTGTTTATTTTAAATGTCACAAGGCATAAAGTATCACAGTTTGTAGCAGTATAGGTCATAATTTTTATTGGGCACGTTCACACACAAGAGGTATGAAAATAAGGTGAGAAGAAATGAGTGTGAAAATATCAGTTAGCGAAATTTTCATTGGGTCAATAATTGAATACTAAGCATGTCGCAAATTCATAACAGTTGACTTTTCAACACAGAAACACACATCCATTTTTTTCTTACACCTTAACTTGGATCGTGAACCGTAAATGTTTCATCCTATAATAATTGTAATAATTGTCGGCAATGAGGATGAAGTTCCCGGTAATGAAATTGGCTTTTGATCGCATTAAAATCACGAACTGGTTGAAGTGTGGAGTTATGAGACAACAAACTGCGTCTCAGTACCAGAATGGTAAAGGGTTTGCCTGGTAACCGGAAGGCGCTAAGT